ATTCGGGAAAGTTTTTACCCTTTCGACCTCCTGGGGCCCCTTCTGGGTCCCAGGACCGTCAAAAACGGATCCGGGGCGAAAAGCTACACCAGATGGAGCCCGCGAGGGGTGTGAGAACCGATTTTGAACGGATTTGGTTTCATTCCCCCTCCTGACAGATTTATTGGGGTCCCAACCAATTCAGACCCCCAGTCACCACCAACTTACACCTTTGCGTGCAGCCGTAAGGATATATGCACGCGGGAGTTCACAATTAAAATGGGGTTGGTCTGATTTGGGAGGGGGTCTGATTTGTGTTGTCTTCGAAGATTCCGGGGGATCTGGGCGGGGGATCTGGGCAATAGCCGCCCTTGCATGGTTGGTCTGGGGGGGGGGCCTAAGATTGCTCGTCGTCCCGGAAGGTGATGGTCCCCCTTCATTATGAAATCCGGAGTCGCCGTTCTCACCCTCCCCCCCCCCTCCCGCCTCCCTCTGCTTCTGCCTCCTCACCCCGTTGGCCGCGCAGACCGAGGAGGTATCACGACCTGTGCTTCTGCTCAGCTCTGCCTCCCGCCACCTGCGGGTGGCGGCCGCGCAAGGTGGTGGAGCGCGAGGGGTGCGGCCTTGCTAAGAAGGTGGGAAGGCAGGGGGCGTCTCAGAAGCCCTGCTGACTTCTGAGAAGCCTTCTCAGATCGGGGCTCAAGAGACGGGGGTCAATGCAAACGGGGGTCAGCCAGAGCGCCGGACCTTGCAGGATCCTGCAGGGCCAGGACCGCACTGACCCGGGTTAGGGAACAGGGTCCTGCAGGATCTTTCTGGATCCTTCGCGTTGACCTGGGTTTGGGTGCAGGATCTTGCAGGCTCTTACAGGAGTCTGCAAGGCCTGACTGACCTGGGTCTGGATTGACCCGGGTCAGAAGATCCCCGATCAGATCAGCGGCACCGCCACGGGTGCTCACTCACGGGTGATCTGGAAAGTTGCCGCGAAAGTTCCAATTCGAGGGCCCCTATTCTGGCATTGCAGCGTTGCCCACATCGGGGAGGGTTGGGTTCGCCGGGTCACAATGGCCGAAGTGCCCCTCAGTTCTCCGGACGCGTCCCACTATTCGCAGAGTGCCTATTCGCAAATGCCCGAAGCAGCTAATTATATCTTCTTCGGTGTAATGTATCGTAAATCCCCCGCGGCGGATCCAGGCCACTTGCGAGCAGCTACCTTGCGAGTGGTAGAACGCGCTCGTCTATCGGTGAGGTCCCCGGTGGAGGAGCGCTGATCCGAAGCTCTCGGGCCCTTCTAAGCAGCCCCCCGCCTGCTGAGAAGCCCCCCGCCCTCCGAAGGCCGCGGAGGAGGAGGAGGAGGAGGAGGAGGAGGAGGTCGCCCCCTCGTGCGCGCGCCGCCAGATCTGGCGTCTGCTGATGGTCCGTCCTGCGCGGTCCAGTCGCCCAGACGCCTCTTGCTCGTCGTCGCCGCGCGGGGCACTCCGGGCAGGGCCTCGCCTTCGAGGGGCGAGGGAGTGGCCACCTCTTCCTCGGCGGATGGCGGCGGAAGCCGGGCGGAAGCAGAGGCCAGCGAAGGCCCGGCGGAAGTGAAAGATGCGCGCCCAAGATCGACTACACGTAAGAGTGACCTTTCGCGGGAGTGACCTTTGGGTGCGGGCCTCATGGGGCTCCCCGATCGCTGCTCGCGAAGCGGTAGCAGCGGCTTGCGCGCCCGGCTCTGGCCACCCCGCGTCCCCCTTCACGTCGTCGCGCGCCACATGTCACTGTTGCCCAGGATCACTCTTACTCTGCCTCCTCCGGCCTCCTGCCTCCTGCCTCTCCTCCTCCTCCTCCTCCTCCTTCCTCCTTCCTCCTCCTCCTTCCTCCTCCTCCTCCTCCTCCTCCGCTCCTCCTCCTCCTCCTCCTCCTCCTCTCTCCTCCTCCTCCTCCTCCTCCTCCTCCTCCTCCTCCTCCTCCTCCTCCTCCTCCCTTTCTGCCTCCTGCCTTAGAGAGCGGGCCACGTGCGGCTGGCCGCGGCCGCTGCCTCTCAGGCGCACCCTGGGGCAGCGCCGACCCCCCCGCGGGCGGTCGCAGGGCAGCGGGCTGGGCGCGATGCAGCCATGCGCGAACCCGGAGTGCGAGTACCCCGCCAACCCCGACCCGGAGATCTCCGACGGCTTCTGCTGCGAGAAGTGCGAGGGCAGGCTCCCGAGAAGAAGGGAGGGGGCACCGCGAGGCCGCTGCCCTTTGGGCGCTTCTAGGGAGTTCGTCTGCTTTTCGTTGGTGTTCGGCTGCTTTCCAGCCTCGGGAGGCTCTCCAACAGCCGCGCCTCGCCAAGAGCGTCCGGGGGATGTCCGGATCGCTTCGAACGGCCGCCAGAGTCCCGAGTTGGGGCCCGAAAGCCAACGCATTGCGAGACGACCCTCCGCCCGAAAGGGGGAGTCAGAGGAGAAAAGGGTACCAATGTCGCTACTCTTCCCTCGTTTCTCGCTTTCTGGGGGCCTCCTGCGAGGTCCTCTTGGTTTCGAACTTCTGGTCGGAAAGCACCCTGAGGGAGGTTTGGGGAGTAGCGGTGTCGTTAATTATCTTTGAACGTTAGTTAGGAGAACTTGTCTGGGGCCCGCCTCACGCATCTTTTCGACTCTAGTTCGTCTCAAGGTCAACTCGAGTACGGCCCTTAGCTCGACTCAAGTTCGACTCAAGTCGACGGACGTTCGCAGTAGCATCGACGCATGAGTGGTGCGAGTGGTTCCAGCAAGGTCCTCAGAACGAGCACAGAAGTATGCTTTGGCTTCCCCAGGTTTAAGGGAGAAGAGTGGGCAATGAGCGGAAAGAAGAAGCACACCGCCTACTGCACCAGCAAGTGCGAGGACTTCTCCTACTTGTTGGGCGAGCTGGCGGGGGGCGACGCGGCGTCGGAGAGCGTGCCCAGCGCCCCCACGGGCCCCATGAAGTGCGCGCACCCAGAGTGCACGTACCTGGTGAATAGCGACCCGTCGATCCCGAAGAAGAAACATTGCATAAGCATATTGTTTCTGAGCTCCGCGTGGATTTCTCGGATCTGCGCTGCGCCCCCCTGGTGGCGCCTCCGGCGCCGCCCTTGGCGCTCTCCGCGCGCAAGGGCGGGGGGTGCAGCGCAGATCCAAGAAATCCACCGCACGGAACTCAAGCTGATGTTCATGTTGTTTTTCTTCTTCTACTATCAGCACCATGTATTGCTGCGAGAAGTGCGAGGGGCTCCATCAGGGGGCCGATTGGGCGGAGGGGGGCAAGCGCCACTACAAGAATTGCGAAAAGATCGAGTTTGGGGCCATGGGTGGGTCTGGCCACGCAGCAGGCTCGCGCCATCACATGCCGACCCGATTGATGCCGAGGAGTATTGCTGGCCCATGCTGCCCAGGTGCGCGTGCGACACTGTTGGGTGATCATTCGGTGATTGTTGCTTTCTCGGTGAGGCGCAAAGACCCTGGAAGGTCCAACGGTGCACCTGGCAAGGGAGAAGGGATGGGAGTGGGGAGGGAGAGGGGCAGGGGGGAGCGAAGAGGGAAGAGGAAGGAATAGGGGGAGGATGAGATGGACAAGCTAGGTGCACTCGCGTCATATCTGAGCCGACGTCTCCCTCCCACCTCTTCCCACTGCACTTAAGTGGGGCATGTCCCCCTAGGCCGATTCTAGACAAAAAATTAAGAATTGTCAAAACATACCCTAAAAAAAAACAAAATTTGTCAAAAATCGTCCCCTTATTATTGTTTACTATTTTTGAATATGCCTCCTGTAGAGGGACAGGCCCGACTTTACATTGCACTAATGTTTCCTCTATCCGCCGACGCGGGTCAAAGCGGACCAGAATCTCCAACAAGGACCTGCGCACATTCGAAAAGGAGGTGGCGGATGAGCAGGAGGGTGAGCAGGAGGAGGATTCCGGGCCACCCTGTGTTGCCGGCTTCTAATCTGAAGCCCTTTTCAGCTATCAGAGAGCTATCCGGGAAGTTATTCTTCAAGAGTAAGAGTTTCACCCAATGGACGTCCTGTGATGATAGAAGGGGGAGGTAAGAAGTCTTGCGCGCCTGGCGCCCCCAGTGGGATCGGCGGGCTGGGCATGCTGCGGCAAGATGGCCAAGGGTGGCAAGAAGGGCTGGGGCGGCGCCTACGACCCCTACGGGATGTGGGGCGCGAAGGGCGGCTGCAAGGGCGCCTACGACCCCTACGGGATGTGGGGGTCCAAGGGAGCGAAAACAGGCTGCAAGGGCGGCGGCAAGGGCGGCGGCGGCAAGGGTCCCGGGAAGGCCGAGTTGCTGGGCTACCCCGCCGACAAGAAGGTATGGGTCGGGGACCTCCCCGCCGGCTGCACGGCAGATGACCTGATGGCCCACTTCGGCCTGGCGGGCAGCGTGCAGCACGTGGCGCTGATGAGGACGGGCACCGCCGGCGTGGTGTTTTCGGACGCCGCCGAGGCCGAGGCGGCCGTGGTGCACCTCAACGGCACGGAGATCAACGACCAGGTGAGCGACGCACGGAAATTGGTTCGATTGCGCCGACCTTCGCGCGTCAGCTTCCCACGTAAGGTCGCCCCTAAGTTCTCTCCTCTCCAGTGTGGCGTGCCGCGCTGGCGGCCCGCGTTCGCTGCGGCGTAAGGTCGCTATATCATCTTGCGTGAGACCCGCTTCTGATCGCCGCCCAGGCGGTGAAGGTGGAGGCCTGGCAGCAAGCCGCTTGATGTGACCATTTTCGCAGCCAGCAGATCACGCAGTCGACGGAGCAAAAGAGGCGCACACATCAACTGTTGGAGCTCCGCGCAGATTCCTTGGAACGGCGTTGGATCCCGTTGCGGCGCCTCCATAGCGCAGCCCTTGGCTCGCAGCCGCAGCGCCACGAAGGGCAGGTCCGACGCCGATCCAAGAGACCCGCGCGGGCCTCCGGAAGTGATGGTGATGTCGCTTTCTTCTTATCTGCAGAGCGCAACTTTTTTGCTGCCAAGCGACATCATCCCTTGCACCAGGGATAGCGTCCCCCCCTGAGGATACATGTCCCATATTTTGCTAAAGGGTTACTGAAGGGAGAGGTCGCGATTGCCTGTCTTGTTTGCCCTGCGCTCCGAAAGTCGCACCACTCTGCCACCACCGTCGCTCCCCCCCCTTCAGGGGCAGCGTTGGGGGGATAGGCTCAGGGGGGGATGCCTCGACCCTCAATCGCCCACTCATCGCCCAGCAGCATGCGGAGTCGCCATCGGGGGCCGACCGCCCATCTATATCGGCGATGTGTCGCCGGTTCCAGCTCGATGTTTCCCCTGTGGGCTGGTCCCCCCCAGAACGTTGCCCCTCACCCCTGCCCTCATGCTCCTTCTTTCACTCCCCCGCCCATTTCCTCACATGGCCTGCGTCTAAGATGCGCCCTGCTGGACACACAAAATATTGGGAAGGCTTTACGGCCGGTGCCGCCGACCCTGCAGGTCGGCAACGATGACGACGATGACGACGACGACGACGACGACGACGACGACGACGACGACGACGACGACGACGGCGGCGGCGGCGGCGGCGGCGGCGGCGGCGGCGCTGACGCTCTGGAACACCTGGGACTCTCTTGGGAGCTTCCTGGGCTCTGTTGGGGTCGTCTTGGACCTCTTGGAAAACTTCCTGGGAGGGTCCGTGGTCACTTGGAGCCGCCTCAGAGTGGATCTTTGGCCTCGTGGAGGCATGTGGAAAAACACGCAGCACCCCGCAACAGCAGATAAGAATGAAGAGGGTGCCTCTGGAGGGTGGGAGGGTCCGGGAGGACAGGGCGGTGGTGGTGGTGGTCCACTTGTGCAAAGAGGGGAGGCGGAGGGAGGAGTCCTCAGCACTCCTGTCCACAGGCAGACCCGTGGACGGGGGGGGGTCACGACCTCCCGGGGCCCACCCCAGGAGCCCCCCGCCACCCCTCCTCCCCGGGAGACCCTCCCTGGGAACCAGGACCCCCCCCTCTGGGCCCTCCCCCCCGGCAGGCGGCAGGCAGGGAAGGGATCAGAGGGAAAGGGCTTTCCCTCCGATCAGTCACGACGTTGCTTGATGTCCGCTTTGGCCGGGTCGCTTGAGGAGGGCCGAGGGAAAGCGGAGGAGCGGCGACGACGGCGACCCAGACGGAAAAATGCCTCCCACACGCCGACAGGGTCGACGGATTGATCCACCACGAGCAGGAACAATCGGCGGTGGAAGCCTTCCCCTGGCGCGCGGAGTGCGCCACGAGCAACACCAGAGGCGCCGCCAGGGGGGTCCCGCACGGGTCCGAGAAATCTGCGCGGACCCCCGACAGAGTTTGTGCTCACGCATGGTTTTCTCCCTCGACCTCTGCCCCCCCCCATGGTCCCAGACGTTCGCCGTCGTGGCGAGGCCCCTCCGGGAGGTCCGTGGGCGGCCGCGTGCCATCTGCAGAATGGTGGGGCTGCGGGCTGCGCGCAGACGGCCCACCGAGGCAACAGGCCCCCCGAGCAGCCCAGGGCGGTCTCCACGCTCAAACCCTGGAACGCGGAGCGCCCCAGGCTGGGCACTCGGAGGGGCCTGCTGAGGCCGGGGGGGGGGCTGCCGGCGAGCAGCTGGTTGAGAGGCTCATCCCGAAAAGCTGGGGCAGAGTTGCTTCACCAACGTGCCGGAGAGCTGGCCCGGTTCCTGGAGCACGTTCGCACCTCCAGCGTGAACGGCAGAAGTTGGCCCAGGTGCGTGTTTAAGAACATTCCGGGAAGTTGGCCAGATCTAAACATTTGTTTCTTGATCATATTGTCGGTTGTAGTTAAGAGAGTTGCTTGTGCGCAACCCGAAGTTTTCGATACACTGCTGCTGTCTAGGGACACGCTGCCCAAGACATCCTCCGATATGATTTGTTCCGCGGCCCCAGAAATTCCGATCCCTTCCTCGGTTGGTTTTGCGTCTTGAGTATTTTTCGGATGGACCTGGGGCACAGTAACGCTGCCTTGGGGCCGAAAGCGAAGAGAAACGTTTGGATTGATACTGTATCAGAGAGATTTGAGGAGCTGTCTGCTGGCAGCCCGAAGCCTTCGATGCACTGCTACTGCTCAGGGGCAGGCAGCCGCGCAGCGGGCAGACCTGCCCTGCCCCCGACTCTCGCTCTTGGATCCTCGATTGTCGATCGTCGATCCTCGGTCATCGATCCTCGATCCTCCGTCCTCGGTCCTAGGATCCCCCTCTCGCCGCCAGGGCCGTGCACGCGCCGCGCCTCCGCACCTGCGCGCTGGCGGCGATCGCCGCCACGCGCATGCGGCGGGCCTTAGGCCCCGCGGGCGGGCCGGCCGGCGAGGGCTATCCCCGACCTCCAGCGTGTTCAATAGAGGAAGATCAAGATGCATAAACATCAGAGTGAGGGGGGCGAACAATCATACATTGTCTTTGGGTGCGCGGCACGAGTGGTGTTCCCTTCGGCGGACAATGCTCGCTGTGTTCTTACATTGTCATCGTCCTCACCCGCGACCCACCCGCGACCCACCGCGCTCCCGTGTAGGAGGGAGGCAGGATTGAGGGAGGAGGAGGAGGAGGAGGAGGAGGAGGAGGAGGA